TGTTTCTAAACCCTTATGGACTTTAAAAAAAAAAAAAAAAGCTTTTTGTGGTAGTAATTCCCAAGATAGCAACAACGTACGAGGCTCTTGAATTTCCCTCCTCCCACAGATGCACCAAATGTACAACTACCCATAGAGAAATTTCCTCTGAAAGAAAGCTAGAAACTAGCTGAGCACGCTGGGTGAATGAGAAAACACCCACTGAAATAGGCAAGAAAGGCTGAGATGCACGCTTATCATAAATCCCACCCTCAGGAAAGGGCCATACAACCCAGAGAGAAACCCCAACTCCCAGCTGTGAAAACAAAGCATACCAAAATTTATGAGATCCAGCAAAAGCAGTGCTACTTGCTAAGTTTATAGTGATAAATACCTATATTAAGGGGGGGGAAAGTCACCAATAAACAACCTAACTTTACACCTCAAGGAACCAGAGGAAAAAAGAGAATAAACTAAGCCCAAAATTACCAGAAGAAAAGAAACAACAAAGCAGATCAAAAGCAGAAATAAATGAAACGGAAACCATACAAACAACAGAAAATAGCAGTGATGTTAAGAGCTGATTTCTAAAAAGATAAAAAAAATAATGTACTAATCTTTAGCTAGATAAAGAAAAAAGTAAGGACTCAAATAAATAAAATGGTAAGTCAAAGAGGAGACATTACAACTGACATCACAGAATCCAAAGGGTCTGCTAGAATCCATAGAGACTGCTTTGAACAATTATATGCAAACAAACTGGATACTGTAAAATAAACAGGTAAATTCCTAGAAACATAGAACCTATCAAAACATGAAATCATGTTTCAAAATCATGAAAATAATAGAAAATCTGAACAGATCAATATTAAGGAGACTGAAATCAGTGATTTAAAAATTAAGAACGAAAATAAAAGCCCAGTACTAAATGATTTCACTGGTGAATTCTACCTAATATTTAAATAAAAATGTGATTTTGTCATTTATATGTCAATAAAGCTGAAAAAATCCATTTTGTTTCTAAAATTGTATAGAATCAATGTTCAGTTGAGTTTCTTAGTAATATTTGTTCCATTTAGAAGATGTTGAACCACTGAAATTAACACAGGTTCTGGGCTCTATTAAGAAGTTATAATATTAAGTTATATTAATAAATAATGTACTATATATAATTAATAGCAAAAATAAAGTTATATTTTATAAAATGAATGATTTCCTCACAAGAAATCATTAAATGATTTCTTAACATTAAGAATGATTACAAAGTTATTTTATCTATTAATTGTTAATTAATACCATTTAATTAATATTAAAGCACATTATAGAATTACATAATGTTTTCTGAAAATTCCAGGTTTTTCTTTTTTTAATATATTTAAATGTTTTATTTATTTCTGAGACAGAGAGACAGCGTAAGCAGGGGAGGGTCAGAGAGAGAGGGAGACATGGAATCTGAAACAGGCTCCAGGCTCTGAGCTAGCTGTCAGCACAGAGCCCGACGCGGGGATCGAAGCCATGAACCGCGAGATCATGACCTAAGCGAAAGTCGGACGCTTAACCGACTAAGCCACCCAGGCGCCCCCAGGTTTTTCTTATTTAAGGAAATTCTTTACAATTCTTTGCTTGCATTAAATGACAATTCATAATAATTTTTTTCAACTCTATACCACATTAGGAAAAGTATTTTTGCCTTGGAAGCATTTAAAACACCTGGGTGGCTCAGTCGGTTGAGCGTCCAACTTCGCTCAGGTCATGATCTCATGGTTCGTCGGGCTCTGTGCTGACAACGAGTTCGGAGCCTGAAGCCTGCTTCAGATTCTGTGTCTCCCTCTCTCTCTGACCCTCCGCTGCTCACACTGTCTCTCTCTCTCTCTCTCTTTCTCTCTCTCTCTCTCTCAGAAATAAATAAAACATTAAAAAAATTTTTAACATAATTTCAACTTTAAAAAAGACACCAGAGAAATCAACAAAGCATTCACAAATAATGTGATAATAATTAGTAGGATTTAAACATTTAACATGTAGAAGACAGTAATCTAGGTGTGAAAGCTCATTTTATGATGAGAACTCAATGATGTAGGTATTATTGCCCCACTTCACCAAAGAGGAGACTAAGGTAAGGAGAGACTAAATAATCAAGTGCCCAAACTCATACCCAGTAAGCGAGAACACCTGTGAAATCCAGTCTGCCAGCAGAGGCAGCGTTTTAATGTCGACACTTTGTTGGCTCTCTGTTAATGCTCTATGAAATTAAGTATTGTCTTAATCCCCAGAATAATTATAAAATGAAAATACCCGATTGTGAATTAAATTTTGTTTCTCTAATGTCTGATTCAGCAGCAGAGACTCATGATTTTCCTCAGGAAACTGAGAACATTTTTTTTTTCCAGTTGAAATTCATCCAACGGAAATATGATACAGCAGATACCTCTATGGAGTTCTCAAAGTGAAAATGTGTATTTACTGAGGACTAGGCTTGGAAGTCCTAGATCTCAGAGATTGCTTTGGGAATGTGAGAAAGTCGTTATTTGCTGGCTCTCCAGTAATTTAGTTTGAATTTGTTAAACTCATTGATGTGTGAACTGGTTATCGAAGCTTGATAAACAGCTTATAAATCACTTTGAACTTGGCAGAAATAAATATTAATGAGTCAATTTTCAAGGAATTTAAAGTCAGTAGTATCTCCTTCTGTTGCCATAAGTTAAAAAAGAGAATCTCGGTTGTCTTATTTAGAAAGGATCTAACAACTTATTAGTAATGATTGATGTTTCTCAAGGCGGTCCTAGGACTACTGATTGTATCAAATCAAACGATTTGCCTAAAAGAAAAAAAAAATGTTCTTTGTAAATCCACCATGGAGTTTCATATGACAAAAGTTTTGTTTAAAACTTCTTTATAAAACACAAGTATGATGATGATTCTAATCCTTTGAGATTCTAAAGTAACCTGCTTCCCCAAGGTTTGCTCAAGGCTGGACTTAGACTAGGGAAAGAAAACAAGCAAGCATTTCAGGTACTGGTGTCTACAAATGTCAGAGCCTTACTGGCATTTACCCACTTGAACCATTTCTACCTTCTCCACACAGGACAAAACAGAATCAAACGGTTTTAGTAGCTGTCCCAGGCCACATGACAAGTGAGGAGCAAACTCAGAATTTGAGAACAGATTTATTGAAGTATGAGCCTGTGTTAGTTTTGCATTTGAAATAGGAAAAATAAATAATTTTCTATGTGACAAATTTTAAGGATACAAAATGACCCTCCAGTTTTCCAAAATACATAGTATAAGGAAGGAATCTTAGAAACCTACTACTTATGTATAATAGAAAATTCTGGCCCTTTGAGATTACATGGCATGCCCCCAAATTAATATCAAATCTGGACTTGATTTCAGAGCTCTTGTGCCTGTTTTCCCTTCTGGAGATACTCAATATCATAATACTAATATTTGTTTCCTGGATCTAAGGGTTATTTCTCATCACTATGAAATCCTTGAAACCTTAGAAGTCTTTTATACCTCACTTTGAGTTGGTTTATTATATCTCTTCCAAAAGTTCTAGTAGTTATCTGATCTCCAGGAAGGGACAGATTGCAGAAAGATCCAGACCACTGCATATGACTGGGAATTTTGTTCACTATATAAGGAGATCCAGCTGAATAACTCAAGAAATGGGAGCTGAAATCCAACTCACTCTCTACCCACTGAGCCATATAATGGTGGGGCATCCCCCGAAAGAGGACACCATGTCTAACCTGCAAAAGGCCACCTTACAGGCTCACACAGGCCCGGCAAAGACCCTGAAAGTTAGGAAGAAAAGGGGAAGAGATGATTGGGCGCCAAGATTTTGAATCCAATGTCTACTGGAAATTAATTAAAAAGACTGTCTTCTAAGGCTAACAATTAGGATGTTTATTAAATCAGTAAATTAGGTGCCAGTGTGGGGAGAGGTGTTCTCTCAGCACAGAGGAGTATAATTTTGTTTCAGGAGAAATGATTTAGGATAAACATCAGCAACGTGTCCTCCTTCGCTATATGGGATATGAGAATGTTACTAAGAAGCCTGTGAATATGTAAGAAAATGGCTCTACAGAAGATGGGAAAAATAGAAAACTCTTGTGCCCTTTTACTGAAAGATTTTGTTTCAAAAAACTTCCTAAAATCTTCTTGGAATAAAACACCATGATGTTGCATACACCACATTTTCAAAAATCATTACACCATCACTATGACAGATTCTGAAGAGTGTCTGAAGAAACACTTTTGAACATTAAGCTGTCAAGTTTTCATTTAATGAAAATATAATTGGCATTTCTAATTTGGTGTTGAAAACCTTTGAAATGCTAATAATAACTACCCTTTTTTTTTTTTTTAGTAAAAGGCACCATCCTAGGTAGTTTGCATACATTTTCTATCTTCCCAAAAAAGAATACTCCAAAAGCTATGTGTTACTATGCTCTTTTTATCAATGAGGAAACAGACTCAATGAGTCTAAGGCATCTGAGAATTATTGGCAGAATGCAGATTCAAATCCAGGTGGGTCCTGATGTTAAACCTGAGTTCTCTCTACCTCACTGAACTAATCCTACGAGAAGGCTTCTACTTAGAAAGGGGAAAGTAGCTAACCAAAATTTTACTGTTAGGTATAAAAAATGTATCTTTTTTTTGAGAGATAGAGAAAGAGAGAACAGAGAGGAGGGGCTGAGAGCCTCTCAAGCAGGTTCTGTACTGTCAGCACAGAGCCCAGGGTAGAGCCTGATCCCATGAACTATAAGATCATGACCTGAGCCAAAACTGAGTTTAACGATTAACCGACTGAGCCACCCAGGCACCCCGATAAAAAATATATTGGAATCAAATATAGCAACCCATGCATTCTCCTACTATTTCCTGAGGTATTAACTCGTTAAGTTGCCATAATCCTAAAGCACATAATGATGTGCTTGTAATCAATGAACTTTATGTATATGGCCTTTCCTTGAGTTCTAAGAAATCAGTCAGGAAATGTGGAGCTGGCTGCTTACCTGTTCCGATAACTTTTGTCCATCGAGGTGAGCCTGCATCACGGCATCATTAACAAGCAAGTGGAAGTTCAGGAGAACGTGTTCAATGTCATATGGTCCATGCATGGCGTCCGACAGCTCTTCCAATGACCGGATGTAGGCATGCCAGTGTGGATTCAGCTCTGCCGTGTGTGCCAGGCAGCCTCTCATGACGTTCAGGCAGTACCCCATGCAAGGCTTGCTAAGAGTCAGGCCCTGGCAGTGAGGGCAGTACTGCATCCTCAGGACAGCTCTGCTACACTCTTTGGAGAAGTGCAGATGGTCTGTGGTATTGATGACTTCGATGCCCAGATTCAGTGCCTGCAGAAATGTGCGGCTAGGGAGCAGTGATCTCCCCATCTGCCCCACTACTCTTTGGGGAACATTACCAAAGGGACTCACATCCCGGCGGGCCATCCGGATGCATTCTGAGTATTCCAGGGAACTGTCCCTCACACCAGGGCTGATGAGGTGATTGTAGACCAGAGGGAAAAGACTGTCAAAGAATCTGTTTACAAATTCTTCAGGATTAACATCTGTGCCAAACAAATAGAGCCCCACATCCGTGAAGAACTCCTGAACTGAAGCTGTAGCCTCTACGGCCATATTTTTGTAGGTGTTGCAGAAAAGGATACTGGTGTAATTCTCTGCTTGTCTGATGAGAGTTTCCAGGGTTTCTGTAACAAAAGCAGAGGTCAAACATGGAAGGCTTAGTATTCATGCTAAAGCTGTCCATCCACCAGTAAATGAGCTGAAGGCATCCTAACCACCCTAAGGATCCAAATGGGAGGGGCGCCTGGGTGGCTTAGTCGGTTAAGCGTCCGACTTTTGCTTAGGTCATGATCTCACGGTTCGTGGGTTCGAGCCCCTCGTCGGGCTCTGTGCTGACTGCCAGCTCAGAGCCTGGAGCCTATTTCAATCTGTGACTCTCTCTCTCTCTGACCCTCCCCTGTTCGCGCTCTCTCTCTCTCTCTCTCTCTCTCTCCTAGAAATAAATAAATTAAAAAAAAAAACATTAAAAAAAAAAAAGGATCTAAATGGGAATGCTGAGCCTACTAAACCCAAGTTAGTTCTTTAAGGATAATGGCTGGTCAACAGTGGGCACCACACACATACCATGCAAATTTTATAAAATTTATTTCCTAGAGTCAAATGTATAGAAATCAAAAAGTATTGAAATGAAAAAAAAAAAGTTACAATATGGTGGTTTCCCACTTAATTTCAGTCATCCATCACCTTCCAATGACAAAAGTGTCACTGAGAAGATAATTTCCAACCATGGGTTCACTGTTTATAAAAGACTGATGTTAGATGCTTGATTCAAACCTACTTTACTTTTACACTTTTTCATTTTTTTTTCTAGAATGAAAGCTAGTAGATTATACACTAGTTACTGTATTAGAACTCCTATCAGGTTCAAATTAAAAAGAAAATAAAATATTTCATGATTAAACAATGCCCTGGGTGACTCAGTCTGTTAAGCGTCCGACTTCTGCTCAGGTCATGATCTTACGGTTAGTGGGTTCGAGCCCCGCGTCGGGCTCTGTGCTGACAGCTAGCTCAGGGCCTGGAGTCTGCTTTGGATTCTGTGTCCCCCTCTCTCTCTGACCCTCCCCTGCTCATGCTGTCTCTATCTCTCTCTCAAAAATAAATAAAATATTTTAAAAATTAAAAACAAAATAACAACAACAACAACAACATAATGCCCTAACTGGCAAACCTTAAGTAGTAAGCAAATCATGGGTTGTATTAGCTGATGAAAACAACTGTGTCACCATCTTCTGAACTCTGTTCTGTTGTTTTCATCATCTGATCCTCAAAGACTTTACTGTGGGACATTTTAACTTTTCACTTAAGTAACTGATGCTTCCAAATAAGTTTCTCCACAGAAATAACAGAGAATAATTTATCCACAAATTAAGGAAGGTGGTAGTAATCTGCAAGCAAGAATTATATTTCAAAATGATAGCTTTTAGGCAGCTGTTGAGCACCTTGGCTATTCTAGTAATTACATTTTATAATTAGCCTAATTATAATAAATAATGATGCTGGACTGTTATCAATACATAATTAATTGTAAAATACATCAATAAAATTATCTCCCATAACCCCAATCTCATCGTTATTTTTAATTAGGTTGTAAAAGACCACACAATGATTCAGCAATCAGACCACTGAATATATTATAAAAGGAGATGGAATGACAGTAGAATGAAAATGAAATAATACAAAGCAGAAGTGCGGCAAGAGCCACTAATGAAGTGGAACTGTGTCACGAATATGCCATCGTGTCCTAAAAACAAATAAACAACAACAAGTCAAACCAAACCAAACACCTTTATGAAAATCACAGACGGATGAAATTCAGCATCCTGTATGCTGATTCTGTTCTGAGAGCAAGCAATGTTGGATTTCAAACTTCAGTGAGATATATCAAGGTGTCTGCTATGGACTGAATGTCTGTTTCCCCCACCCCCAAATTAATATGGTGAAATCTAATCTCCAATGTGGATGACATTTGGAAGTGAGGCTTTCAGGAGGGGGTTATGTCATGAGAGTGAAGCCCTCATGAATGGGACTGGCTCCTCTACCAAAGAGACTCCAGAGAGCTCCTTCGCTCCCTCTGCCATGTGACGACACAGTGAGATGTGAACCATACATGAACTAGGAAGTCGGCTCTCACCAGACAATGAATCTGCCAGCACTATGAGGTGGGACTTCCCAGCCTTCAAAACTATGAGAAATAAATGTTTGTTGTGTATAAGGCACCCAGTCTATTGTATTCTGTGATAGCAGAGGAACCTTAAAAACAACAACAAAACCCTGAAGGTGCCCTATCATGAAAGGCAACAGTTTTTAAAGGTGGCTGTCACCCTGTTGCAACACAGAGGACTACAGACTTTAGTCTGTAGAGGAGGCAGGACTCCTGTGTTCTCTCTGCATCTCCAGTGCCCTCTGGAATGTAGGCTACACACTATGTAATCCATAAAAATGTGAGCCAATGAAGGCTTCAGGGGCGATTAGCTGCTTTCCAAAGTGAGGCTGGGTGGGGAAAATACAGAGTGCCACGTCTCTGCACTCAGGTTTACAACCCAGTAGGTCTGTTTGGGCTCAGGAATCTCCATTTAACAAGCACCCCCCGCTGTGATTCTCTGAAGGTGGCCCGCTGTGGGAAAGTTGCCCTGGCAGATAATCTATAAAATGTTCGCTCTGCTTTGACAGAGCGGTTCTGTGAGTTTTCCACCATAACAGTCTGACCCCACAGCTGCAGTGTCAGCCACCGCACTCTGCCTTCACAGACCCGCAAGAGTGAGTGCAGAAAGTGAGTGGAAGTGGCTGAAATAAAATAAAACTTTGTTTCTCAGTTATATAGGCTCATGTCTCTCAGCAAATTATGTGCGGCCAAAATTATGAGGCAGGTTGAAAATGAGTTTATTTGCCAAAAATGGCTAAATAGCAATGTTAGCCATTTTTTAAAGATAAAATAAGGGTGAATTTAAAGATACCAAAACCACAGGCACGGTTATGTACTTTCCACCAGTTTTGCTAAGGTGCATGCTATAGACCTGTTTGTGCCGCTGATATTTGCCACACGATTCTCGGTGCAGTAAAGGCTGCCTGCTACCCCAGGAAGTTCAAATATGCCATCCGACTTCTGTCAACTCTAAGTGGTGTACAAACACAATTGTTTGAAGTAAAAAATAAAATGTTTCTTTAAACATTTGAGTCCCAGTAATTTATAACTTATTATGATTCAGGGGTATATGGAATTTATCTTTTCAGTTGCTATAACAAATAGGTTTTGCAAATTAATTTATTCTGAGAAAGCAATATTAAAAAGAATATATGTAATATTGACATTTTTATTTTTATTTTATTTCAGAATGATTTTCCTCTAATCTAGATTTTTATTTATTTATTTTTACAAATAGTTTATTGTCAACTTGGTTTCCATATAACACCCAGTGCTCATCCCCACAAGTGCCCTCCTCCATGCCCATCTCCCCCTCCCCCCCCCCCATCCATCAGTACTCAGTTTGTTCTCAGCATTCAAGAGTCTCTCATGGTTTGCCTCTCTCCCTCTCCCCCATTTCCCCCTTCTTCTCTCCCATGGTCCTCCGTTAAGTTCTTCCTGATCCTCCTATACGTGCAAACATGATATCTGTCCTTCTCTGCCTGACTTATTTCGCTCAGCATGACACTCTCAAGGTCCATCCATGTTGCTACACATGGCCAGATTTCATTCTTTCTCATTGCCATGTAGTATTCCATCGTATAGATAAACCACATCTTCTTGACCCATTCGTCCGTTGATGGACACTTAGGCTCTTTCCATGTTTTGGCTGTTGTTGAGAGTGCTGCTATGAACATTGGGGTACATGTGTTCTTATGCATCAGCATTTCTGTATCCCTTGGGTAAATTCCTAGCAGTGCTATTGCTGGGTCATAGGGGAGTTCTATTGTTAATTTTTTGAGGAACCTCCACACTGTTTTCCAGAGGGGCTGTACCAGTTTACATTCCCACCAACAGTGTAGGAGGGTGCCCGTTTCTCCACATCCTTGTCAACATCTAGAGTCTTCTGATTTGCTCATTTTAGCCACTTTGAGTGGCATGAGGTGGTATCTCAGTTTGGTTTTGATTTGTATTTCCCTGATGAGGAGGGATGCTGAGCATTGTTTCATGTGTCTGTTGGCCATCTGGATGTCCTCTTTGGAGAAGTGTCTGTTCATATCTTCTGCCCATTTCTTTACTGGGTTGTTTGTTTTTTGGGTGTGGAGTTTGGTGAGTTCCTTATAGATTTTGGATATTAACCCTTTGTCTTATATGTCATTTGCAACTATCTTTTCCCATTTCGTTGGTTGCCTATTAGTTTCGTGGATTGTTTCCTTTGCTGTGCAGAAGCTTTTAATCTTGATGATGTTCCAATAGTTTATTCTTGCTCTTGATTCCCTTGCTTTTGGGGATGTGTCAAGTAGGAAGTTGCTGCGGTGGAGGTCAAGGAGGTTGTTTCCTTATTCTTGAGAGAGAGAGATAGACCGCAAGTAGGGGAGGGGTAGAAAGAGAGGGAGACACAGAATCCGAAGGAGGCTCCGGGCTCTGAACTGTCAGCACAGGGCCTGATGTGGCGCTTGAGCTCATGAACCATGAGATCATGACCTGAGCTGAAGTCAGAGGCTTAACCAACTAAGCCAAGCAGGTGCCCCTGATCTCGATTTTTAAAACAAAACATAATGGAAAGTATAAAAATGTTAGGAATCCTATTATAGTTGCACTGTAAAACTTGTCTTTCATGTTGTAAAAAGTAAAATTTTAGTTCTCATAACTATGTATTGTTTTTGCGAACCTTTGAATAAGAGAAGACATGTGCACCAATATCAACATTCTGATTATTTCCTGAATATCTACACACAAAATGGCTTCTTATTTTTTATTTTTTTATATTTTGAAAAAAAAAATGTTTTTTGAGAGAGAGAGACAGCGTGAGCAGGGGAGGGTCAGAGAGAGGGAGACACAGAATCCGAAGACAGGCTCCAGGATCCGAGCTAGCTGTCAGCACAGAGCCTGACGCGGGGCTCAAACCCACTAACCGTGAGATCATGACCTGAGCTGAAGTCGGATGACCAACCGACTGAGCCACCCACGTGCCCCCAAAATGGCTTTTTAAAGTGGACTTAT